TGTAAACTTTGTGAAATAGAAAACATGCACTCCCTTGAACATTATATTGAGAATATCCCATATTCACTGACTTTCGTCCTCCTAGGTCATGCTCAGTAAACAAGTATATATGCTCTGTAAATACTATATGAATAAAGCTATTAGCTTTTCTAACCAACCTATTTTCTTCTATTATGTCTACTATTACATCCATTTCACTCTAACACACACACACACATGTGTGTGTATGTGTGACGGTTGGCCTGACAGCTGAGTGGACAGCGCTCGGGATTCGTAGTCCCAGGGTCCAGGGATCGATCCCCGACGGAGGCGGAAACAAGTGGGCAGAGTTTCTTTCACACCGATGCCTGTTCACCTAGCTGTAAATGGGTACCTGGAAGTTAGACATCTGCTACGGGCTGCTTCCTGGAGTGAAAGAAACTCCAGGAAGGAAACTCCAGGAAATGCCAATTTGTTACCACCTCCGCCGGGGATCGAACCTGAAACCATAGTACTACGAATACCGAGCGCTGTCCACTCGGCCGTCAGGCCCCACAAATAGATTTGACCAAATGTAAAATCTATCAGTTTACAGTAAATTCTGTCAGTGGTGTTGGAGGGTAGTGGGTGTTGGAGGGTAGTGGTTGTTGGAGGGTGGTGGTTGTTGGAGGGTAGTGGTTATTGGAGGGTAGTGGGTGTTGGAGGGTAGTGGGTGTTGGAGGGTAGTGGGTGTTGGAGGGTAATGGTTGTTGGAGGGTAGTGGGTGTTGGAGGGTAGTGGTTATTAGAGGGTAGTGGGTGTTGGAGGGTAATGGTTGTTGGAGGGTAGTGGGTGTTGGAGGGTAGTGGGTGTTGGAGGGTAATGGTTGTTGGAGGGCAGTGGGTGTTGGAGGGTAGTGGTTATTGGAGGGTAGTGGGTGTTGGAGGGTAGTGGGTGTTGGAGGGTAATGGTTGTTGGAGGGTAGTGGGTGTTGGAGGGTAGTGGTTATTGGAGGGTAGTGGGTGTTGGAGGGTAATGGTTGTTGGAGGGTAGTGGTTGTTGGAGGGTAGTGGGTGTTGGAGGGTAATGGTTGTTGGAGGGTAGTGGGTGTTGGAGGGTAGTGGGTGTTGGAGGGTAATGGTTGTTGGAGGGTAGTGGGTGTTGGAGGGTAGTGGGTGTTGGAGGGTAGTGGGTGTTGGAGGGTAATGGTTGTTGGAGGGCAGTGGGTGTTGGAGGGTAGTGGTTATTGGAGGGTAGTGGGTGTTGGAGGGTAGTGGGTGTTGGAGGGTAATGGTTGTTGGAGGGTAATGGTTGTTGGAGGGTAGTGGGTGTTGGAGGGTAGTGGTTATTGGAGGGTAGTGGGTGTTGGAGGGTAATGGTTGTTAGAGGGTAGTGGTTGTTGGAGGGTAGTGGGTGTTGGAGGGTAATGGTTGTTGGAGGGTAGTGGGTGTTGGAGGGTAGTGGGTGTTGGAGGGTAATGGTTGTTGGAGGGTGGTGGTTGTTGGAGGGTGGTGGTTGTTGGAGGGTGGTCGTTGTTGGATGGTAGTGGTTGTTGGAGGGTAGTGGTTGTTGAAGGGGGTTGGTTGTTGGAGGGTAGTGGGTGCTGGAGGGTAGTGGGTGTTGGAGGGTAGTGGTTGTTGGAGGGTAGTGGGTGCTGGAGGGTAGTGGGTGTTGGAGGGTAGTGGTTGTTGGATGGTAATGGTTGTTGGATGGTAATGGTTGTTGGAGGGTGGTGGTTGTTGGAGGGTAGTGGATGTTGGAGGGTAGTGGTTGTTTGATGGTAATGGTTGTTAGAGGGTGGTGGTTATTGGAGGGTAGTGGTTGTTGGAGGGTAGTGGGTGTTGGAGGGTAGTGGGTGTTGGAGGGTAGTAGGTGTTGGAGGGTAGTGGGTGTTGGAAGGTGGTGGTTGTTGGAGGGTAGTGGGTGTTGGAGGGTAGTGGGTGTTGGAGGGTAGTGGGTGTTGGAGGGTAGTAGGTGTTGGAGGGTAGTGAGTGTTGGAGGGTGGTGGTTATTGGAGGGTAGTGGTTGTTGGAGGGTGGTCGTTGTTGGAGGGTAGTGGTTGTTGGAGGGTAGTGGTTGTTGAAGGGGGTTGGTTGTTGGAGGGTAGTGGTTGTTGGAGGGTGGTGGTTGTTGGAGGGTAGTGGTTGTTTGAGGGTGGTGGTGTTGGAGGGTAGTGGTTGTTGGAGGGTAGTGGGTGTTGGAGGGTAGTGGTTGTTGGAAAGTAGTGGGTGTTGGAGGGTAGTGGTTGTTGGAGGGTAGTGGGTGTTGGAGGGTGGTGGTTGTTGGAGGGTAGTTGGTGTTGGATGGTAGAGTTTGTTGGAGGGTAATTGTTGTTGGAGGGTGGTGGTTGTTGGAGGGTAGTGGTTGTTGGAGGGTGGTGGTTGTTGGAGGGTGGTGGTTGTTGGAGGGTGGTGGTTGTTGGAGGGTAGTGGTTGTTGGAGGGTAGTGGTTGTTGAAGGGTAGTGGTTGTTGGAGGGTGGTGGTTGATGGAGGGTAGTGGTTGTTGGAGGGTAGTGGTTGTTGGAGGGTGGTGGTTGTTGGAGGGTAGTGGTTGTTGGAGGGTAGTGGTTGTTGGAGAGTAGTGGTTGTTGGATGGTAATGGTTGTTGGAGGGTAGTGGTTGTTGGAGAGTAGTGGTTGTTGGAGGGTAGTGGGTGTTGGAGGGTAGTGGGTGTTGGAGGGTAGTGGTTGTTGGAGGGTAGTGGGTGTTGGAGGGTAGTGGGTGTTGGAGGGTAGTAGGTGTTGGAGGGTAGTAGGTGTTGGAGGGTAGTGGGTGTTGGAGGGTGGTGGTTATTGGAGGGTAGTGGTTGTTGGAGGGTGGTGGTTGTTGGAGGGTGGTGGTTGTTGGAGGGTGGTGGTTGTTGGAGGGTAGGGGTAGTGGTTGTTGAAGGGGGTTGGTTGTTGGAGGGTAGTGGGTGTTGGAGGGTAGTGGGTGTTGGAGGGTAGTGGTTGTTGGAGGGTAGTGGTTGTTGGAGGGTGGTGGTTGTTGGAGGGTAGTGGTTGTTGGAGGGTAGTGGGTGTTGGAGGGTAGTGGTTGTTGGAATGTAGTGGGTGTTGGAGGGTGGTGGTTGTTGGAGGGTAGTTGGTGTTGGAGGGTAGAGTTTGTTGGAGGGTAATTGTTGTTGGAGGGTGGTGGTTGTTGGAGGGTAGTGGTTGTTGGAGGGTGGTGGTTGTTGGAGGGTGGTGGTTGTTGGAGGGTAGTGGTTGTTGGAGGGTAGTGGTTGTTGGAGGGTGGTGGTTGTTGGAGGGTAGTGGTTGTTGGAGGGTGGTGGTTGTTGGAGGGTAGTGGTTGTTGGAGGGTAGTGGTTGTTGGAGGGTGGTGGTTGTTGGAGGGTAGTGGTTGTTGGAGGGTAGTGGGTGTTGGAGGGTAGTGGTTGTTGGATGGTAATGGTTGTTGGAGGGTAGTGGTTGTTGGAGGGTGGTGGTTGTTGGAGGGTGGTGGTTGTTGTAGGGTAGTGGGTGTTGGAGGGTAGTGGGTGTTGGAGGATAGTGGGTGTTGGAGGGTAGTGGGTGTTGGAGGGTAGTGGTTGTTGGAGGATAGTGGTTGTTGGAGGGTAGTGGGTGTTGGAGGGTAGTGAGTGTTGGAGGATAGTGGGTGTTGGAGGGTAGTGGTTGTTGGAGGGTATTGGTTGTTGGAGGATTGTGGTTGTTGGAGGGTACTGGGTGTTGGAAAGTAGTGGGTGTTGGAGGATAGTGGGTGTTGGAGGGTAGTGGGTGTTGGGGAGTAGTGGTTGCTGGAGGATAGTGGGTGTTTGAGGATAGTGGTTATTGGAGGGTAGTATTTGTTGGAGGATAGTGGGTGTTGGAGGGTAATGGTTGTTGGAGGATAGTGGGTGTTGAAGAGAAGTTGTTGCTGGGGGGTAGTGCGTGTTGGAGGGTAGTGGTTGTTGGAGGATGGTGGTTGTTGGAGGGGTAGTGGTTGTTGGAGGATAGTGGTTGTTGGAGGGTAGTGGGTGTTGGAGGGTAATGGTTGTTGGATGATAGTGTGGGTGTTGGAGGATAGTGGGAGCTGGAGGGTAGTGGGTGTTAGAGTGTTGTGGGTGTTGGAGGGTAATGGTTGTTGGAGGATAGTGGGTGTTGGAGGATAATGGTTGTTGGAGGATAGTGGTTGTTGGAGGGTAGTGGGTGTTGGAGGGTAATGGTTGTTGGAGGATAGTGGGTGTTGGAGGGTAGTGGGTGTTGGAGTAGTGGGTGTTGTAGGGTAGTGGGTGTTGGAGGGTAGTGGTTGTTGGATGGTAGTGGTTGTTGGAGGAGAGTGGGTGTTGGAGGGTAGTGGTTGTTGGAGGGTAGTGGTTGTTGGAGGGTAGTGGTTGTTGGAGGATAGTGGGTGTTGGAGGGTAGTGGTTGTTGGAGGGTAATGGGTGTTGGAGGGTAGTGGGTGTCGGAGGGTAGTGGTTGTTGGAGGATAGTGGTTGTTGGAAGGTAGTGGGTGTTGCAGGGTAGTGGGTGTTGGAGGGTAGTGGGTGTTGGAGGGTAGTGGTTGTTGGAGGATAGTGGTTGTTGGAGGATAGTGAGTGTTGGAGGGTAGTGGTTGTTGGAGGATAGTGGGTGTTGGAGGGTAGTGGGTGTTGGAGGATAGTGGTTATTGGAGGGTAGTTGTTGTTGGGGAGTAGTGGTTGTTGGATGGTAATGTTTGTTGGAGGATAGTGGTTGTTGGAGGGTAGTGAGTATTGGAGGGTAGTGGTTGTTGGATGGTAGTTGTTGTTGGAGGATAGTGGGCGTTGGAGGGTAGTGGTTGTTGGAGGATAGTGGGTGTTGGAGGATAGTGGGTGTTGGAGGATAGTGGGTGTTGGAGGATAGTGGTTATTGGAGGGTAGTTGTTGTTGGGGAGTAGTGGTTGTTGGATGGTAGTGTTTGTTGGAGGATAGTGGTTGTTGGAGGTTAGTGGGTGTTGGAGGATAGCGGTTGTTGGAGAATAGTGTTTGTTGGAGGGTAGTGGGTGTTGGAAGGTAGTGGTTATTGGAGGAAAGTGGGTGTTGGAGGGGTAGTGGGTATTAGAGGGTAGTGGTTGTTGGAGGGGTAGCGGGTGTTGGAACAGAGGAAGGACAGATGGCGCGGTAGTGCTACTCCATGTAAACAAGTTGAGGGTGGCGGATGCCTCACCCAGCTGCTGCTGCTGCTGCTGCCTCTGACACTGACGGCTGCCTCATATCTCATACTGGCCTTCCTCACACACCAGGTCGTTCAGCGATGCAACGGTAGCGTGGGTGTGGTGCCTGGCGCCCCTACTGGAGGTCAGTACTGCTGCCGATGACAGGTGAAGCCTCTGCTCTCAAACATTAACTACTTAACGTTCACAGGTCGGTGGCCCTATTCGCAGATGATAATTACCCATAACTCATTTTGAATATATTTATGTTACTTTTATTAAATGGGAAGTCGTGTACAGGAGTGTTGGCCCATTACATGGAGATCCAAGAGCAGCCATTGACCTGGTGACTATAAACTGGGACTCTGAACTCAATATTACACAAAATTCCTTAATCGACATCTTCCTCTCCAAAACTGTAAGCCCCTACAACACACACTGTCTTGTACTCACCAAGCAAGTAACTGGCAAAAGATAAAACAACCCTTGGCTCATAGGTTGAGCCAGTCGGCCGAGCGGACAGCACGCTGGACTTGTGATCCTGTGGTCCTGGGTTCGATCCCAGGCGCCGGCGAGAAACAATATGCAGAGTGTCTTTCACCCTATGCCCCTGTTACCTAGCAGTAAAATAGGTACCTGGGTGTTCCTGGGGGTGGAGGCCTGGTCGAGGACCGGGCCGTGGGGACACTAAAAAAGCCCCGAAATCATCTCAAGATAACCTCAAGATAGGTGGCATACTTAAAGCAATTAACAAGAAACAGGTATATGAAAAAAACTTAGGATTGGCCTAGTTACAAAAGAATTTTAAGAGATACTCATCAATGCTTATTTTGATTATCAATCTATAATAAGAAGAAAAGCCATACATTTCTTTTATGAGAGTAGATTCAAAGAAGCAGAAGAAAATACAAAAAGCAGACAGAAATCCATCTCTAACATCCTAGGGTCTAAGCAACAATCACATAAGCAGATAAAACTCAATAAAGGATGGTTACACACTTGCAACAATCGATAACTGAATTTATTGGCTTCTTTTTATGAATTGGTCATAAAGTAAAATCCAAGAAAATCTAGTAAAAAATGCCAGTACAATTCAAGAGACCCAGATACGTTACTACATATTTCACTGGCAGCTATTCCTACTCTCTACTCCTTTTACCAGTTAGTCCAACAGACATTATATCCATAATAAACTCACTTAAAACCAAAGCTGGGAACATTACTGAAATATCATCTATAGTATATAAGAGTGCTGCTCATGTCCATGCAACACCCATAGCTCTTCTATTCCACTAATCTCTAGTGTCATAATTTTCATGATACTCTTAAAAAAGCAAGAGTAAGTTATCTCTGTTGGCCAGGAGATAAAGCTCTTTTACATTGTATAGTATGCGGACCCTGGAAAGTTGAAGTGGAGGCCACACTGTCGTCAGTGTCCTTATGGCTGGATACACTGGTAGGGTGTGTTGCTGAGACAGCAGATCTTCGCCTAGTAACACCACCATGAGAGCTGCTAACGCTCGGTTCATTTATGCTACATACATCAGAACCAATGTCACTGAACACAGAAAAAAAAAGACTCATCTCCTACATTATCCCATTGTTCAAGAAAGGCAGATGACATGGGTGGTGGTGATAATAATGATGGGTGTTGACTTTAGACAGTTTGGCAGGGTTGGCAAGAGCTGTGTACTGTACATGCTCTATATGTATCCTTGTCTTTAATGTCGGTATCACTCGAATACTAATGACCCAAAGTGGATAACAAAGGATTTGATGAAGTTTATAGGTAAAAAGAGAGCGTGGTACAAAAGGATTAAGAATGGGGAAGTCAGTTTAGAACAGGAATTTGAACAACTGGTTAGAAATGTTAAAAAAAAGAGATAAGGAAAGCAAAAAAAAACTATGAAGTTCACATAGCAGGGCAAGTAAAGACAAATCCTAAAGGTTTTTTTCAGTTATGTTGAACAAAGACTAGGGAAATAATAGGTCCATTAAAAACTGAGACAGGTCAAATAACGGATAATGGCGAGGAGACGAGTGTTATTTTTAATAAATATTTTATATCTGTATTTACTAAAGAGGAACTTAACAATATGCCTTCAGCCGAACAAGTCTTATGTGGATGGGGACGAAGACAGGTCGACTAGTTTAGCAGTTACCAGGGAGGATGTAATTAAACAAATAGTAAAACTAAAACCAAACAAATCCCCAGGGCCAGATGAAGTGTTTGCCAGGGTGCTTAAAGAATGCAAAGAAGAGCTTTTCGAGCCACTGTCTACCATATTTAATAAATCAATAGAATCAGGCAGAGTGCCCGAGTCATAGAAGGTTGCTAATGTGGTACCAATTTTTAAGAAAGGAGATAGATCACTTGTGTCAAACTATCGGTCAATTAGCCTAACGTCTATTGTGGGAAAGTTACTTGAATCGATAATTGCAAATACAATTCGTCTTCATCTTGAAAAACAAACTAATAAATTAGTCGCAACATGGTTTTACAAGTGGCCGTTCATGTTTAACAAATTTGCTATCTTTTTATTCCAGCATAGTTGAGGCAGTTGATAGTGGTAAGGATTGTGATGTTGCGTACCTTGACTTTAGCTAAGCTTTTGATACAGTGCCACATGAAAGACAGATTAAAAAGATAGAGGCTCATGGTATTGTAGGTGCTATATTAAGTTGAATTAGGGCATGGCTATTCCAAAGGAAGCAGAGTTAGTATAAATGGGGGTTCAGTCAGAGTGGGATAATGTTGTTAGTGGAGTACCTCAAGGCTCTGTCCTGGGACCTCTGTTGTTTATAATATATATAAATGATTTAGAATCGGGTAATGATGATAGTTACAAGATACGAGCTGGATGGTGTTGAGATTGTGAAGTCGGATTGCGAAAGGGATCTGGGAGTTATGATTAGTAAGAATTTAAAACCAAAGGATCAATGCATGAATGTTCGTAATAAGACAAATAGGACACTGGGATTTATTAATCGAAGCATTAGTAACAAGACACCTGGTGGTGTTCTTCAGCTATATCTTGCTCTGGTTAGGTCATAAGAACATAAGAACATAAGAACAAAGGCAACTGCAGAAGGCCTATTGACCCATACGAGGCAGCTCCTATTTATAACCACTCAATCCCACTCATATACTTGTCCAACCCGCGCTTGAAACAATCGAGGGACCCCACCTCGAGCACGTTACGCGGTAATTGTTTCCACAAATCAACAACCCTGTTACTGAACCAGTATTTACCCAAGTCTTTCCTAAATCTAAACTTATCCAATTTATACCCATTGTTTCGTGTTCTGTCTTGTGTTGATACTTTTAATACCCTATTAATATCCCCTTTGTTATGTCCATTCACCCACTTGTAAACCTCTATCATGTCACCCCTAACTCTTCGCCTTTCCAGTGAATGCAACTTAAGCTTTGTTAATCTTTCTTCATATGAAAGATTTCTAATTTGGGGAATTAACTTAGTCATCCTACGCTGGACACGTTCAAGTGAATTTATATCCATTCTATAAAATGGCGACCAAAACTGAACTGCATAATCTAAATGGGGCCTAACTAGAGCAAGATATAGCTTGAGAACCACACCAGGTGTCTTGTTACTAACGCTGCGATTAATAAATCCAAGTGTCCGATTTGCCTTATTACGAACATTCATGCATTGATCCTTTTGTTTTAAATTCTTACTAATCATAACTCCCAGATCCCTTTCGCAATCCGACTTCGCAATCTCAACACCATCTAGTTCGTATCTTGTAACTCTATCATCATTACCTAACCTCAGAACTTTACATTTATCAGCATTAAACTGCATTTGCCAATCCTTTGACCATTCCAGAACCCTATCTAGATCAACTTGAAGTGATAGCGAGTCCTCCTCCGAATTAATTTCCCTACCGATTTTCGTATCAAATTAATTTCCCTACCGATTTTCGTATCGGCAAATTTGCAAATGTTGCTACTCAAACCTGAATCTAAATCATTTATATATATTATAAACAACAGAGGTCCCAGGACAGAGCCCTGAGGTACTCCACTAACAACATTTTCCCACTCTGACTTGATTCCATTTATACTAACTCTCTGTTTCCTTTGGTATAGCCATGCCCTAATCCAGCTTAATATAGCACCCCCAATACCATGAGACTCTATCTTTTTAATCAGTATTTCATGTGGCACTGTATCAAAAGCTTTGCTAAAGTCAAGGTACACAACATCACAATCCTAACCACTATCAACTGCCTCAACTATGCTAGAATAAAAAGATAACAAATTTGTTAAACATGAACGGCCATTTATAAAACCATGTTGCGACTCAATTATTAATTTATGTTTTTCAAGATGAAGACGAATTTTATTTGCTATTATAGATTCGAGTAACTTTCCCACAATAGACGTTAGGCTAATTGGTCGATAGTTAGACGCAAGTGATCTATCTCCTTTCTTAAAAACTGGTATCACATTAGCAACTTTCCAAAACTCTAGCACTCTGCCTGACTCTATTGATTTATTAAATATGGTTGACAGTGGGTCACAAAGCTCCTCTTTGCATTCTTTAAGCACCCTGGCAAACACTTCATCCGGCCCTGGGGATTTGTTTGGTTTGAGTTTTACTATTTGTTTAAGAACATCCTCCCTGGTAACTGCTAAACTCGTCAACCTGTCCTCGTCCCCACCCACATAGACTTGTTCGGCTGAAGGCATATTGTTAAGTTCCTCTTTAGTAAATACAGATACAAAATATTTATTAAAAATACTACTCATCTCTTCATCACTATCTGTTATTTGACCTGCCTCAGTTTTTAATGGACCTATCCTTTCCCTAGTCTTAGTACGATATAACTGAAAAAACCCTTTAGGATTTGTCTTTGCTTGCCCTGCTATGCGAACTTCATAGTTTCTTTTTGCTTTCCTTATCTCTTTTTTAACATTTCTAACCACTTGTACGAATTCCTGTTCTAAAGTGACCTCCCCATTTTTAATCCTTTTGTACCAAGCTCTCTTTTTACCTTTAAGGTTCTTCAAATTCTTTGTTATCCACTTTGGGTCATTAGTATTCGATCTAGAATACTCTAGATCTAGAATAGAGTATTCGATCTAGGTCCCATTTAGATTATGCAGTTCAATTTTGGTCGCTGTACTATAGAATGGATATAAATTCACTTGAACATGTCCAGCGTAGGATGACAAAGTTAATTCCCCAAATTAGAAATCTTTCATATAAAGAAAGATTAACAATCTTCTTAAGATGATTTCGGGCTTTTTTAGTGTCCCCGCGACCCGATCCTCGACCAGGCCTCCACCCCCAGGAAGCAGCCCGTGACAGCTGACTAACACCCAGGTACCTAATTTACTGCTAGGTAACAGGGGCATAGGGTGAAAGAAACTCTGCCCATTGTTTCTCGCCGGCGCCTGGGATCGAACCCAGGACCACAGGATCACAAGTCCCGCGTGCTGTCCGCTCGGCCGACCGGCTTCCCAAATTGCTTAAATTACAAAGCTTAAATTGCATTCTTGCATTCACTGGAAAGGCGAAAAGTTAGGGGTGACATGATAGAGGTTTACAAGTGGATGAATGGACATAACAAAGGGGATATTTATAGGATATTAAAAGTATCACCACAAGACAGAACACAAAACAATGGGTATAAATTGGATAAGTTTAAATTTAGGAAAGACTTGGGTAAATACTGGTTTGGTAACAGGGTTGTTGATTTGTGGAACCAATTATCGCGAAACGTAGTGGAGGTGGGGTCCCTCGATTGTTTACAGTGTGGGTTGGACATGTATATGAGTGGGATTGGGTGGTTATAAATAGGACTTGCCTCGTATGGGCCATTAGGCCTTCTGCAGTTACCTTTGTTCTTATGTTCTTATATATTTGACACCGTATTTTGTCCAAATCTTCTTGAAGGGTGTGTGACAAGCATGTAAGTTTCTTATCACCCCGAGTATTTTAGCATCATCAGCAAATATGTTCATATAATTCTGTATTTCATCTTGTAGGTCATTTATATAATAATAATAATAATAATTTATTGTTAGGGGACAGGAAGCCCGAGTGTGTTCATATACATTAGGCTTTTATCAAGTTTCTCTCGCCCCCCTCCCAAGCCAAATTACTGACCCCACCCAGGATGCAACCCCACAACAAGCTGACTATATCCTGAGTACATACTTACTGCTAGGTGAACAAAGGCATTAGGTGAAAGGAAATGTGCCCAACCATTTCTGTCTTTTCTGGGATTTGAACCCGGAATTCTCGATTGTGTGTCTGGAACAAACATAACTGTACTACCCGCGACCATTTATGTAGAAAATGAACATTACTGATGCAAGAACAGAACCCTGTGGTACTCCACTCTTGACATTTCTCTAGTCTGATACATTGCCTCTGATTACTGCTCTCATTTTTTGTCAGAAAATTTTTCATCTATGTTAGAAGCCTCCTTGTCACTCCTCCAGTATATAGCGGTTTCCAGAATAACCTCTTATGTGGAACTGTCAAAAACCTTTGCATGTCTTTGCATTTTTTCCAGTTTGTTGATGTGCTTCTGAAGGTATGGGCAGAAATGCAACAACATACAACTGCTGCATGATTTGAGCATTGTTGATTGTGTTACTGAAATTAACCGTCAAATTGGTATAAAAATGTTTAGGCTAGCTCATCCTAACCCTTGCACAGAAGCCCTCCAGAATTTCTTTATTGAAGATCAACATTGTTCCAAATGGATAACTAAAACTGGAACTGAACTCAGAATGTATCAGATTTATCATTTGTACCAAGAGAGACAACAACGGCACTTTCCTGCACCGTGGTACATTACACCCTTTCCAATGTTAATCCCTTCCTTTCCACTCAAAAGCAAATTAGTTATCAGCCCAACCTTCGTCTTGAGGCAAAGCTCAACGCCTTAAATTCACATTAAATTCCATTTGCCAAGTGGTGCTCCATACACTTACTTTGTTCAGGTATTCTTGAAGGGCATGGCAATCATCTAAGTTTCTTATCTTCCCTATTATCTTAGCAGCGTCAGCAAACATGCTTATATACAGTAATTCTGTTTTCCGTCTGGTAGATCATTTATGTAGACAATGAACATTATTGGTGCAAGAACTGAACCCTGTGGTACTCCACTTTTCTCCAGTCTGATACATTTCCTCTGATTACTGCTCTCATTTTTCTGTCAGAAAATTTTTCATTCATGTTAGAAGCCTACCTGCTACTCCTCCAATATGTTCCAGTTTCCAGAACAACCTCTTATGTGGAACTGTCAAAAGCCTTTTTTAGGTCCAGATAGATGCAGTCAACCCAACCATCTCTTTCCTGTAAAATCTCTGTGGCTCTATCATAGAAACTGAGTAAATTTGTTACACAGGATCTTCCAGATTGAAAACCATACTGCCTTTCTGTTGTTATATAATTTTTCATCGTGTGCTCTACCCATTTAGTTTTAATTATTTTTTTCCAATATTTTAACTATTTCACTTGTCTATGATACAGGTCTATAATTGATGGGATCTTCCCTGCTGCCACTTTTGTAGTTTGGAACTGTTAGCTTTTTTGCACCCATCTGCTAAGACTACTGTACACAGGGATGCCTGAAAAATCTTTTTAAGTGGAATGCTGAGCTCAGGTGAGCATTCTCTCAGAACCCATGGTGAAACTCCATCTGGGCCAACTGCTTTGTTCTTACTTAGCTCCTTGATCATATTTTTCTACTTTATCTCTTAGACATCTCTATGTGCTCTGTGTTGTTCTCTGGAATTCTTATCGTGTCTGGTTCTCTGAAGATTTAATTTTGCAGAAACACACTTTGGAACTTTGTTTAATGTTTCACACATTTCCTTTTCATTTTTTGTGAATTTGTTTCCCATTTTCAATCTGCTGAATGTTATCCTTTACCTGCAATTTGCTTTTGATGAATTTATTGAATAGGCCTGGTTCTGTTTTGCATTGACCACTATCTCTTTCTCAAAATTTCTTTCTGCCTCTCCTCACTGTCGTGAAATTTTGCACTTCTTTGTATCACTGGTATGTTTGAGGGTTTGGCCTCTTCCTATATTGATTCTATTTTTGTGTCTTTTGGTCTCTGGCTCTCTTGAATTTCTGTTGAACCAATCTTGTTTCAGTTCTGCATCTCTGTTTTGGTATAAATATGTGTGTGCCTTTATCATATATTTCACAGAAATTGTTTCTCATTTACTAAATTCCTTAAAGAAATTTCTAAGTTCCCCATAATGACCTCTCCTGAAATCAGGTTTTTCAACTGCTTCAACTTCCTCATTCTCTTCCATATTATAACATTGCATACGTTAGTCCCAAAAGGACATGGTTACTTTTACCCAAAGGAGGAAGGTACTGAATGTCAAATATCTCTTCCTCTTTCTTGGTGAATATGAAATCCAGCATGGAGGGAACATTCTCATCCCTTGTCCTTGTAGCTTGTTTAACGTGTTTATACATGAATGTCTCCAGGATGAGGTTTATGAATCTACAGGTCCAAAAGTCGTCTGTTCTAGCTTCGTATGCCTCCTAGTCTATGGATTTCAAGTTGAAGTGGCAGACTGCTAACAGTCGTGATCGATCTTTATCTACTCTTGCTATAATATTTCTCATTGTTACGAGGCCCTTTCATTTATTATCCAGCTCCTCTTTTGTCCATGTGTTGCATGGCAGTAGATTTTATGCATATATGATTATTAATTTATCATCATTGCAAATATCCGGTGCTATTATGTCAACTTATTGTGGATTGCTAGTTCAAAGTGATGCTAGATTCTCATGGTGATTACTTGCCGGCAGGCAGGCAGGCAGGCAGGCAGGCAGAGGCATATAGACAAACATTTCATTTTATAGATGCAGATAATATTTAATAAAATATTTCATATCATATTTCATATCTTTTTACAGATGGTTAACATTTGACTAAGACACATGCTGCAATGGGAGATGAACCACCACCTTTGCCACCGAAGCTGCGATCTGCAGCGGGAGGCCGATACACAGAACAAGATATTGCTAAGGCTTTGGAGGAAGAAAATAAAGAGTATGAACGCATAAGAAGGGAGAAACTGGGACGGTCACAATCCCAAAAATCTACTTCCTTAAATGAAAATGGCCCACCAGGTACAGTAGTAAGGTTACATAGCAAGCCCTACATTTTATTAGCTTTCTATAACTGAAGCATGCTCCTCCCAGTGTATGTTTCCAGGTTCCATTAGCATCTTCAGATGTGTTCTGTTGTGTTAGGGAGGGTTCTGACTCTGCCTTTGCCAGCAAGGGGCAGATCTGTTTCATTTTCTCCTTTGAGATCAGAACTTTACAGACTTGATAGATTTTGAATCTATTAAGTTCTATTGGTTGCATTCTGAGGATCATGATTCCTCCTGACTTGCAGACAACCTGTAATTTTTCAGTGGAGGGAGCCTAGCACAGTTTCTGGGAGGAGCCCGTTGATGGCTTCCTAAAGACTTCTTGATGAGGTGGCTCCACCTAACATACTAGGTCCCAAAAGAACTCCCAACAATGAAAACAAACCACCAAAATTTTGTAAAACTAGCACAAGCTAGTTTGCCCCCACCTTTCCCCCTTGTTTGGGGGAAAGAGGGAGGTGGGCCAGGTCAGCCGGCTCGCCCCACACTCGTTTTTTTGCTGATGATTCCTAGTCATTGGTGTTGTCACTCTGGCTCCAGTCTCCTGTTTTCAAGTGAAGTTTTGCCTTTGAGGCTGTTCTTAAGTGTTTGTGTAGTGTGAGCCAGGAATGTAGTGTGCTTGGAGCTGCATGTAGTTTGGGGGCGCACTGTAGTTTGTGTGTCCAGTTAAGTTGTGCTAACACAATGCACAGACGTTTCTCCCTGGTTGCTCGTTTTCTGTTTTGTCCTGGGAGCTTTGGGGTTTTAGTTTATTTATTAATTTGTCACTTTGCTTTTTTGCACTTAGGGGTTCTTCTGTTTCATCTTATAGGCTTTGTTTATGGTCATTGTGCAGTTGAACCCCCTTGCTACACCCCTTAACTTTTCCATTGGTTTCAGGTGGCCAGGGGCTGCCTGTTCCATTCAGTGGTTACTGGCATAGCATTCCAAGTGCCTGTGCTTCCTGCAGGGCTCGGTCACCCTGCAGGCCCTAGAAAACACCTGCAGGCTCAGTTGTACAGTACTATAGATACCTCGTCCGAGCCTGCCCTTGCTTTGTGCAAATTTGTGGGTTGTTAATCACCTGTGCCACTGGGCGATATTCATATATTCTGCCTCCAAGAAACGTTTAGAAAAGGAGAAGGGAAAATTTTTTTGAAGGGGGAAAAAAATGTGCTTGAATGTTTTTTCTTGCACACAGTGGTGTTGGTGGCTATTAATGGCTGCGCCGTACATTGATGTGTTTCCAGTTCATAGCTGTTATTAGTAACAAATAATTTTTGAGTTGAAAGTTTACTATACTGCTCTTCAGTGTGTAAACTGTCTTTTCTTTAATATTTCAGATTTGTCGAGGTCTCAAACTCCCACTGAGAAGAGAAGTTCAAGGACAGGTGAAACAGTGCCTCGGCCTCGTCCGAGTGCAGTCTCAACCCAGCCCACACCTAAACCTCGTACAGTTAGTCTTTTACAGACTCAGCCAGTAACCCACCACAATCATCCACAAAACATTTCCAAGCCCAGATCTGTTTCATGCTGTGTTACAAATATTTCCATTGAGTCTGATTTAGGCTGTACCAGTCAGTCTGTGTTAAGTGCATCAAGTCAGGGCTGTAAAGATGCAAGTAGTCAGCAAGATCTTATGTCATTTCATAGCCCAGAGAAACCAAAGAATGATATACTAGAGCTTCTCCATAACATAAATGCAAATCAGAGTGCTGTAGTTCCTGTGTCAACCTCTCAGGGATCCTACAGAATGTCGAATACTTTTGCACAATCATTTAATTCTCAACAATTACCACTAAGACCAACATCAAATTTGCCTGCATATCAAGGGACCATTGCCCCAGTGTTCACAGGATCTCAGTGGCCGACAGTCACCCCAAATGGGGCATCATATTCATGTTTTAGTTCAGCACCCTCTTCAGTTCCATATAGACCAGCATTGCCTCCATCACACACTTTATCTAGTAGTCTAAATTTTACAAATTTCTCTAATATTGGACAATTAGTCAAATCATCACCAGCACTACCAAGCTCTCATATTGCTCCTCCATTACCCCAGAGATGTCCAGTATTGGAGATAAGCCGAATGAGTGCACTGGTCAATCAGTTGTCTGTGACTCAGAGTGCATCAGGTGGTACAGCATTTTCTCCTTCAACTTCAGGAACACCCACATTTGAAGCTCCCATCAGTTCTGGTATTGTTGGAACTAAAGTCAGCACTCCCAAAGGTGATGACCTCATTGATTTGGGGATAGGCTCAATTTTAAAAGAATCTGCAGATGATATAGAAGCAAGGACTAATGTTTTAGATGTGTTTGATCCAATTTTGTTAAAAGCTAAAGAGGAGGAATTGAAGAAAAATATTAGTACTTCCTCTAGTGTAGGAGTTGCAAGTGTGGATACTGACAATGTATCAATTAGTAAAGAAGCTCATGAATTACTTCAGTACAAGATGCCCAAGTCTCTTTGTGATGATGAAATGAGTTACTATGAACAAGTTGATCCTTTTGAATATATGCATCCTGGTGCTAGCAGCACAAGATCAGATCCTGTGTATGATGCATATGATGGTTTGGTTAGCCCTGGAGCAGTTGGAGGAGAGACCTTTGACATACCACCACCTCTACCTCCACGAATAAATACTAAAGATGCAGAAGTCAAATTACGCAAAACACTGACAAGCCCCAGAATGCAAAAAAAATACATGGCAAAGGTAAGGCACTAATTTTGTGTTGTCTATAGTCCGTAATACATATATTTTTATTTTTAACAAGTGTATTACCTCAACTATTAGAAGTAGGGTGCAACAATGCAAGTTTAATTCTTATATTATATCAAACTAATTTGTGTAATTATAAAACTTGCTACATCATGAACTATAAAATAATATAGCAGTCATTGAAAGAAGGCCCTTTCTGCGGGGAAGCCCCATTGGCTCCCTGAAGCTATCATCACTGATCAAGTACCATACTACCTAGTGTCATCAGTTGCAGAGTTCTTTTTGCCTACTGGAGACCATGAGGCAGAACCTGGCCCCCCCTCAGAGATGGATGGGGAGTGATAGCCTATGATCACTTTACATTTATAGGATATCATCTTTGATATCACCATCACCATCACCAGGGAAGGCACCCAGAAAGATAGGCAAATCAAAACAAACCACTGCCTGGTTTAAAAATGTGACTAAAACCCCAAAAATTTCAAAAGAACTCCCCCAATAATAAAATGTATTACCTCAAAGAAACAACCAAAACTTAGTGAAACTAGGCCTACCCCTGCTAGTTAATTCCACCTTCTCCTTTGTTGTATGGGAGGGTGGAGCTGATCAGCTTCAGTTCTTTCCTGATGTGCTTACCTAGCAGCAGTGTTGCTCCGGCTCCTCTGTCCCATTTGCGTGTTTTTTCTCTCTCTCTTTTTAGGCAGTGTTTTACACAGGAATGTGTGAGCGCCAAGCATTTTAGTGTACCAGAGCTCCATGAGCTCAGGGTTACCTTCCCTAGGCATTTTGTGAGTACTGCTCTTGCATGGCCAGAGTTATCTTTCCTTGGACGTTTGGGGAACGCTCCCTTTAGTGGGCCTACTTCCTTGGGGTGGTCCTTGCCCTTATGGTAAGTCAGGGGTCTTGGGCTTTGTCTTCCCTGGGGTTTGGGAATGTTGTTGGCTGGTGTGGCGCACTGCAGTTGCACAGCCTACGTTGTCTACTAGCTGTTTCGGGGTGCGCTGATGTTTCTCCCTGGCTGCTTATTCTTTTCACTTTATTAGGCCTAGCCTAGAGTGTGTGCAGTAGAACCCCCTTGCTGTCCCCCCTTGACTTTTCCTTAGGCTTTGGGTGGTCTGGTTGCCTTCATCGACAGGGTTTACCCCAGTGGCCCCAGTGTCTGGGCTTTGTTATGGAGTGCAGCCCCATATTCCCGCATATAAGAGTCATAATTCCATTTGTACATAACTAGAAGAAATTGTGAGTTGATATTATACACTTAAGAGGAAGCATGAAGTTGCAATTTTGAGTTTATTTGCGATGAGGCTTCAAGCGTCTCCTCCATGTAAATATGGCAGAGCAAGCCAAGGGAGGAGGCAAGGGTTCTCACCCGGGGGTGGGGTCTCCAGTGCATTCTGGGAACAGCGTCAGCCATGGCATGATTGGTCAGCGGCGTGGGCTTGGCCGGAAGGACCAATGGTGTCACGTCACCAATGGCATGACGTAGGCAGGACGGCAGGCGCCCCTGCAGGGAAGTGCGAAATCTGAGATCATTTGCTTCCAGATGTTCGAGCTGAGTAGATGTACGCTTGAGAGCTCACCTGTCAGAGAGACATGTAGGCCTCCAGGGGGAATAATTCGGGCAGCTGACATGTACCGACGAAGAAGAAGAAGACCTGTTGACTCCCTCCAAGGGCTCGTTGCCGGCAGTGACCTGAGTAACTGTGAAGTGGCACTGGAAGGAGTATTGGACATTCCTGTGTGCTACATATGTCTGAAGCTGTGTGGAGCTGAATTGGTAGCAGTCCTAGTATGCTGAAACTCGGCGATCGTTTACCCATGTTACGAGGCTGCGTGGTGGACCAGTATGTCGAGTGTGTTAGGCTGGGTGAGCAACGCCCAAAGCAGTCTTGACCTGTCATCTGGGAAGGTATATCTGGTGTAGGAGCAGCTCCCAATGAGGAACAAGTGAGCAGATGGCTTGATCGTGGATCTACAAAACGAGCGGTTCTCGTTTTTCACCTCCCGTTTCGCGTGTCAGTAGGCTGTGCTGGCTCATTCTGTGGACTTTGCATAAGGCCTGGCTCTTCTTTCTGCTTCTCCCTTTGGTCCTCTTTCCTGAGGGCAGCATTGCTCAGTTTTTGTCCGTGGCCTTGGTTTTTGCCGTCCTGTTTTTCCATTGTATGTCCGGTAGGGTCGGTCTCGCTCTTCCCAAAGGGGTTGGGCCAGGGCTTCGCCTGCTGTTTGTCGAGGTGGGTCTTTTGGGGTGACTGCAATCGGTTCATATGGGTCTTCCCCCAACTCTTTTTCGAGTTGGATGCTTGGATTTTTTCAGTTTATTGGTGAGCTGACAGGCTTCCTGTTTTCAGGCTCTCCCATTTTACTGCATCTGGCACCCATGTGTTTTTTGTGCTTGACTTGGGTCGTTGTGGCTCGTCTTTGTTTCCTGGGTGTTAGCCTACCTTGACAACTGGCTGGTTTGGGCTACCAGTCGGTCTGCTTATCTGCTAGCCAGGGATCTGGTTCTTTCCCAGCTTGCCGGGTTCGGGTTCCTGGTGAATTGGAGAGAGTTCCAGTTGGTTTTGTCCCGGGTTCGGATCTAGTTAGGTTTGACTTGGGATTCTCGGTTGGCATTGCTTTCTCTGCTGCCAATGGCCTTGCTCTGGCTACAATCCCGCTGTCTGCTGCTATTGAGGGGGCCCTGGGTTACTCGGCAGATGCTCGAATAGTTGTGCAGGAGTCTGACTTTTGCCCTTCTGGTTAACTCTGCTTGATACCTGGTTGATGGGCTTCTGGGAGTTGTTGTTCTCCCCAAGCCCAGCCTGAGGCTTGACTTGAGAGCTTGGTCCACCAGGCTTGACTTGTGAGAGCTTGGTCCACCAGGCTGTTGCTTGGAGCAGCCCGCAGGCCCACAGATCCACCACAGCCCGGTTGGTCCGGCACCCCTTGAAGAAAACTATTTAGCTTTCTCTTGAAGATGTCCACGGTTGTTCCCGCAAAATATTTTTTATACTCACTGGGAGTATGTTGAACAACCGTGGACCTCTGATGTTAATTCAGTGTTCTCTGATTGTGCTTATGGCTCCCCTGCTCTTCACTGGTTCTATTCTGCATTTTCTTCCATATTGTACACTCCAGTATGTTATTATTTTACTGTGTAGATTTGGGACCTGGTCCTCCAGTATTTTCCATCTGTATATTATTTGATATCTCTCTCATCTCCTTTCTAGTGAGTACATTTGGATAGCTTTGAGACGATCCCAACAATGTAGGTGCTTTATCTTGTCTATGTATGCTGTATATATTCTCTGTATTTCCTCTATTTCAGCAATCTCGCCTGCTCTGAAGGAGGTGGTGAGTATTGAGCAGTACTCAAAACATTTTGGGCAGGGTTTGGCTTCAGAGGCTATTCTGGTTCCTTCAGGGCAGCCCCTTTCGCTGCTCTTTTGCGATCGCTGGATTCAGACCCCTGTGGCCCTGTGCTGGTTGCTGCATCACCGGTTTCCTCTTCAAGGTTTTTCGTGGTTTGGTGCCTTGGCGCCTTCTTCCTCCCTCGCTTGATGTGTTCATGGAAGCCTCGGTTGTTGGTTGGGGCTTTGTGACCAGTGCTCATCAGTCTGGCCAGGATCATTGGCATTTTTTTTAACAAGCTCGCAGAATGGTGTGATAGTTTGTAGCTGTGTGACAGGCACTGCAGGGTGTTTGGATTCCTCCGGACTTTGTGATTCGGCTCCATTCGGATTGTTCCCCTGTGATTCCTCATCTTGACAGCATTCTTCTTTCTGTGGCTGTGTGGGGATGGTCGCTTCGAGTAAATTGTCTTTATTCTCAGTTTACATCTCTACAGCGTTCATGTTCAAGGTGTGTCCAACGTCTTGGCTGATAGTCTGTCTCGCTTCCTTCCTCTTTTCGTGAAATGGGACTATTGATGCCGTTTCCTCCCTCTAGTTTTGCCAGAAGTTCGGGCGCCCTGATGTCGACCTCTTCTCGACAGCATGGTCTTGGCATCTTCCTTTTCTGCGGCGCCGTTCCTCGGCTGCGAGGCCCTCGCAATGGATTTCTCTCGGCTAGACTGGTTGAGATGGGGGTGCATTTACCTCTCTTTCCCGGTTGGGCTATTGTTCCAGGGGCTGGTGCATATGGAATCTTACAGGGGGAGTGATTCTTCTGCCTCCTTGGTTTAAGGTGCTGCTTGCTCAGTGTCCGAACCGGGGCATTTTTCTGTGGCTCCGACTCTATTGGAGGGTCGGGTGGGTGACATACCTCATTGGTTCAATCTTGTATTCGGCTTTTTGGGTCTGGAATTTTGACACATTTTTCTTGCCATTTCTATGGTGATCATGTAGCTGATTTGATGGTGTCTCACCTGCTATCTGGCAGTATGAGGTTTCTTGGCGGTCTTTTCATCCTTTTCTCTCCTTTTGTCGTCTTTTCTGTATCGGACCGGGTTGTTCTGTCCTTTCTTGGCTTTTTCTCAATTGGCATCCCATGCCTATTACTGTACTGTTGCTTCTTATTGTGTAGCATTGGTGGAGCTGCTTCTGCTTGTGTTTGAGGTAAATGTAACTTCGGCCCCGTTTCACAAGCGTTCTCGTGCTTTGTTTCGCCTTCAGTCTGCTCATGCGCTGCCTGAGCCTGCCTTTTTCTTTGGACCGGGCTATTTCTTTCTTTTCTTCTCCTTGGTTTACTGTGGTCTCTTCGGTCTGGGATTATTTTTGGAAGGCTTTGTTTATTCCTTCCTTGGCTTCCAGTCATTGGTATGTTTGCTTCATGCTCTCCTCTGGCACCAGAGATTTTTCTTCCTTTGGTCCTGGGGGTTGTATTGTACGCTTGCAGCCTGTGCTTTCTTTTCTTGCCCAGAATGAGACAGCAGGAGGGGTGCCTTGGTTAGTTTGGCCAGGGGTGAATTATGCGCTTTGTCTGGCTGCGACTTTATGATGCTGCCTTATAGCCTCCGGTTCTGTCTTGGTGGACTCTTTGTGGGTTGTTACGGTTTCTCTGGTTCCCTGTCCCAG